TATCTATCTATCTATCTATCTATCTATCTATCTATCTATCTATCTATCTATCTATCTCTATCTATCTCTATCTATCTATCTATCTGTATCTATCCGTATCTATCTATCTGTAGCTATCTATCTATCTATCTATCTATCTATCTATCTATCTATCTATCTGTATCTATCTATCTGTATCTATCAATCTATCTGTATCTATCTATCTATTTGTATCTCTATCTATCTATGTATCTATCTATGTATCTATGTATCTATCTATCTATCTATCTATCTATCTATCTATCTCTGTCTGTCTATCTACCATATGTATCTATCATCTGTATCTCTATCTATCTATCTATCTATCTATCTATCTATCTATCTATCTATCTATCTACCATCTGTATCTCTATCTATCATATCTATCTATCTATCTATCTATCTATCTATCTATCTATCTATCTATCTATCTATCTATCTATCATTTAATTTTGGGTTATTCTACCTGTTTTGTGATTACCTGCCCTGTTTCCAGATCCAGCAACATCGAAAACCTTTTTGTAATGATCATACTCAGATGTCAGGGTCTTTTTACAATTTATTGATCAATACAAAAATTCAGGATAGAGGGTTCAGGGATTTAGGGAAAAAAAAGGGGACAGAATCTTCTGAAATAGTAGTAGTCCTATGAGAGAGACATTTAGAAATAGATACTGATAAAGAGGGCAGCCAGGTAAATCTATGACCCTACAGGAGCAGTCACAGCCCATGTGGTGCACCAACTAGCTTATGTTCCCTCTGTATGATACCAGGACCTATGGGTGATAAATCATTCTTACAGTGTCCAGACGGCAGCTTCTACCCAACTCCTCTGTGACACTCATTAGCAAGAATATCATTTCTCCAGCTTCCATTAGGTATCCATTCCAGCAGTGACTTAGGGTTTAAAGCCCCCAGGCACATGGCACATGCTGAAGCCAGGCCCTGTCAGCACATTCTCATGCAGGCCTCTTCCCAGGGAGAAGGCCCAGGAGAGATAGAGCCTTCTGGAAGGTGCTCCCAAATATTTATCATCTCCCCCAGCCATACCTCTGAGTCAGCTCCTCAGGGATTGGTCCAAGTTAGACATATATTTATAACCTGTGGTTAATCCTCCTCCACTGTATGCTTGAGCCTCCTCCGAGCAACAGGTGGAATCAATCAACCCACCAGTCTTGGGGTGACCATACACCTTACGATTATCGGACGAAACTTTTCATCCGATGATCGAATAGTCGGACGATTTTCGTACGGCAGCCCCATCCTGCCCCGATGATCGCAAGATTAATTTAATTAATTTAGCCGTAATTAACGATAAGCAGCTGGACGAAATGCAGTAATTGATTTGCCGTATTTTCATTAGCGCAAGCGCAGTGTAGATCGTACGACTTTTGACGGACGGAAACGCCAGCAACCTTACGAAAATCGTACGATCTAAAGTTGTAAAAGTCGTCAATCTGAGAGACAGAAAAAAAAAAAAGGAGCGCCTCCATAGTGTAAAACAAATTTTAATGATAAAAACATCAAGGGGGCTTTTTGGACCCCCAAATCCCATTGAACGTTTTCTTACTTCAAAGAAAACGGTAATTTCTTTTACTTGGTACCTCCTACCTGGCACTCTGCCCTTTTGTTTCTTCTGTAAGCGATCCAAGAGGCGCTGGGGCTAAGTCAATGCTCATATGGGGTACTGAAAGGAAAATATTTACCCGGAAAGCTCAATGGATCTGGTTAGACAGCTCACACCAAAGAACAGGGCTACCCTGCAGTGGGTACCCTGAAAGACATAAAGCATGGACCAAAAGAAGGAGCGCCAGACCAGATGGTAAAAAGACAACATTCCTTTAATGGTTTACATAGTAAAGACAGCCAACACTCCCTTTTCATCAGGAATACAAGAAAGTATAAATGTATATATTTAGGTAGAACTCGATGGACATGTGTCTTCTTTCAACCTGACTAACTTATATATATATATATATAAAACATTTTGTTTTTATTCAGCCATTTTGTCTCTTCTTCTAATGTAAACAACCTTTTGTATCTTCTGCAATTAGTTTAACAACTGTAAGCATGTAGCAGCCTCAAGCTGGAACTAAGTGGCCTCTTTTGAAGGTCATTTTATAGACCTAGGTGCATGCGCACTCAGTATTATGTTAATCACTGGAACTTATTAAACTATAAGCTCAATCATTAAACGGGAAACTGATGTTAATCTGAGACGTGTATCAGTTTGAATTCCTTGCATGATCATGCTAAACATAAGGGCAATATCTTATACAACAAATAACCCGTCGAAGACACGGGGGGGGGGGATTTATCAAAACGGGAGCAGACAAAATCTGGAGCACCTGTGCATGGCAACCAATCAGCAACTCTTTTTCATTTTCAAATCTCAACTGAACAAACTGAACAGAAAAGCTGATTGGTTGCCATGCACATTTTCTCCAGATTTTGTCTGCTCCGGTTTTGATAAATTCACTTCACTGTCTCTTATGTGTGAACCAGTAAATTAAATTGGACTCTTTTACCATGTGGCCTGGCGCTCCTTCTTTTGGTGCAAGCTTTCTTTTCATCTAGCACTAAAAATCAAAACACAAAATATAATCCTTCCTACACCACTCAAACCTTAAAGTGACATTAAAGCCAAATTTGTTTCCCCTCCCCCCCATGTTAATGTTAGCACTTACCTTAAATGATGTCTTTTATTCCAATCTTCCTCTTCTTTCCTGATGTTTTCATCTGTCCTTCCAGCGGTGCGGCAGCTCTCCGATCCAGCGCTGACTGCTCTGTCTCCGTCCGATCCAGCGGTGTCTGCAGGCGGATGCACGCATCCATAGACTTACCTTGCGTCTCTGCTCGTCTCCCGGCCGAGAATCGGAACTGCGCATGTGCCCGTCCTAAGATCCTTTGCGGCCGTACGATCACTTCCTGATTCTCGGCGCGGGAGCGAGCAGCGATAACGAGGTTAGTTTAAAACCAGTTCAAGCAGGGTTTTTTTTTAAACTTCTTGCCTATATCTACTGCTTGCTAGCAGTAGATATAGGCAAAAAAAACGGAGAGTTTAGAACCCCTTTAATATAAAAATATACGACAAACAGGGGCTCCTTTTGGAGTCACAAAGCCCACTGTTGGGTTATCTTCCACTTCCTCAAACTATATATAACAAAGTCCCCTACCGTGTATTTTACATAGAGGGTTTCGTCTCTTCTTCTCATTAAACTTTAGAAATCGTTTTAACATTTTATCACATCTAAAGTAAAAAATTAAATACCGTATGCAAATAACAGCGTGGGAGTATGTGATTAAGCACAGAAATTGTCGGTTAAACTTTGATAAGCATATAATTATAATTGAACACCAATCAGCCCTCATTGCTTGAGATCCAGAAACTTTTTTTTTTTTTTGGTTAAGATAAATATGCATGTAAATGTATAACATTCCAAATATTTATACTGTGTCAGACCTCGTCTCAAATGCCCGTTAGATCCTTCAAATCACAGCAGAAGAAGCAAATAGCTCTTCAGATTAGTTTAGTAATAAATTTGTTCGGAGTTTTAAAGACAAACTAAGCACAATTTTTGGAAAATTGGCAGCATAACAAATCCTCGAGCATTAAAAGCTTAATTCTGGTCAGCATTGTCAGCGATGTAGTGGTTAGTGCTTCTGCCTTGAAGCTCTGGGGGTCCCTGGTTCGAATCCTGGCCAGGTCACTATCTGCAAGTAGTTTGCATGTTCTCCCTGTGCTTGCATGGGTTTCCTCTGTGGTTTCCTTTCACACTCCAAAGGTATTGGCTCCTGTCTAAGTTGGCTCTATGTATGCGTGTTAGATGGGGACCTTAGATTGTAAGCTCCATGAGGGCAGGGACCGATGTGAATGTGCACATGTAAAGTTCTGTGGATATTGTCGGTGCAATATAAATACCTGTAATAAATCAATAATCATTAGGGTGCCTCTCCCCCACTGTACATTTAGTGCTCATTTAGTCTAGGGCAGGGGTAGGCCAGATCAGCACTCCAGCTGTTGTGGAATTACAAGTCCCATGAGGCATTGCCTACCTCCTGTCTAGGGGACTGTAATGAAGAGGCTAAGCAGACTAAACCAGCAGTAATTCATGAATGTACAAGAGGGAGGGGCACCCTAATGGAAATGCTGACCAGAGTTTAGCTTCTACAGTCAAGCTCAGGTCTTAGAATTTTAAAACGTTTGGATTCACATAAGGTACCTCTAATGGGCCGTAAAAGTAGAAGTATGGGCAAACCATATAATGCTGTCTTCCCACACTCCAAAGGCATGCTGGAAGGTTAAATGGCTCCTGTCCAAATTGGCCCTTTATGCATGTGTAAAAGGGACCTTAGATTGTAAGCTCCTCAGGGGCGGAGACTGATGTGAATGTTCTGTATGTGAATTGTAGGCACTGTATAAATACCTGTCATTAAAAAAACCCAGGATGTACTCAGAGCCAGGAGGCTGCGGGCAGTAGTGCTAAAATTAGGACTTCTGTTCAGAAAAGTTACCACATGACATGTTTAAGAGGCTGCAAAGACTAGTACAAAATGTGTAATTTCTAGTGAAAGTGCAGTTCTCCTTTAAACCCAGCAAGCTAGTCAATTCCCAGTGCCCAGTGGAAGGAAATGAGGACGGTGATTGAAGCAGAATGCAGTAGGGATTACAGATGAATCACACACTCTACCTGGTTTTAGATGAGCAAAAGGGATTTCGCCAGTAAGCAGTTCCCAAAGGCAGAGGGCATAGCTGAACACGTCGGCCTTTATGGTGTAGCGCGTGGACTGGCTGAAAACCTCTGGGGCCATCCAACGGAGGTTCTAAAAATGAAAGAGCAACTGTTACAGTCATCAGTATCAGGCAACAAGTCCCTATTGGTTTATAGAAAGCATTGTGCAGTCAGGAGCTGTGCGGGTCCTGCTCCAATCATCACGTCTGCTGCTACCAGTAACCTTCTACCACCCATATAGAATTCTGTGCAGGAAAACAAGTGTTTATAGCCTAGGACTCTCATACAGAAAGAAGCTAGCCTTGCAACACTGCACTACTCTTATTACATTACAGAAATACATTGCACAACTAGTATTATTAAATAAAATAAATGCATTTCACTACTACTATTATTAACTTAAATAAATACTTGCACTACTACTATTTTTAAATTAAATAAATAAAATGCACTGCTATTTTTAAATTCAATAATTACATTGTGCTACTATTATTAAATGAAATAAATAGATTGTAAATTAAAAAATAAATTGCACCACTACTATTTTTAAATGAAATAAATGCATTGCATTATTATTAAATGAAATACATACCTTGTACTACGATTATTAACTTAAATACATAAATTACACTACTATTAGTAATTAAATAAATAAATACATTACACTACTACAATTATTAAATAAAATAAACTTAATTAAATAAATACATTGTACTACTATCATTAAATTAAATAAGTAACCAACACCCTGATTTACAAGTGTATCTTTCCATATTTTTCTTTTATGACTATGTACCAAAGATTGTGATTTAAATTGTTTCATTTTATTTTTCTTGTAAATCTGTACTATTCGGATTCTGTACTTTTGAAAACCTTGAATACAAATTATATTTAAAAAAGAAAAACAATTAAATATATTAAATTACACTACTATTATTAACTTAAATAAATTGCACTACTACTATTATTAAATTAAATGTATACATTTTACTACTGTTATTAACTTAATTAAATAAATTGCACTACTAGTATTATATTAAATAAATAAATTACACTACAACTATTATTAAATTAACAGGGTTATTCAAAAGGGTGAAGAGTTTGGAAAAGGCAGGAGAAGGGAACAATCTAGGACAACATATCAGATTTGGAAACATTCTCCAATTCAGCTCACTTTCCAGCTCAGCTATGTTGGTCTAGATTGTTCACGTCTCCTGCCTTCTCCAAACTCTTCACCCTTTTGTGAATAACCCGGCAAATAAATAAATTACACTACTAATATTAGGAAATGACTACTAATATTTGATTAAGTTATTAAATTGCACTCAGTTAAATAAGTAACTAAATTAAATAAAATATTAGAATTACTACAGATATGAAGGAATTAAATATACTACAGATATGAAGGAATTAAATACCTCAATAGAAGTATAACTCAACATAATATTTTCAGTATAAAAGGTTAATAAAGTTTATGTCTAGGCATAATGAAAAAAATACACATTCAGTACATCTCTGCAATACATACACATTACCCCATGTTTTGTCTCTTTAAAAATGTTGTAAGTACAAAAAAATGTAAGTTCGCAATTATGTGGTATTTTGGATTCTTCATCATTTTCCGTCTCAATGGCAGTGGCCATCGGGACAAATGGAGAAGATGAATCTCCCCAGCGGGGACAGACAGGGCCGGATATACTCTCTCTGCTGCCCCAAGGCCAGGTTCCTCAATGCGCCTCATTGAGAATGGCAGACCTGCAGGCTGCATACAAGCGGCGGCTTCCCAGCTGTACATTTAGCTCAGCTTGCCCAAAGCAGGGCTACATGTAGAAAACAACTACCCACTCGGCGCCCGGAACTGCATGTCCCAGTCATCGGGAGATACCGGTAGGAATTCCACACACCTGCTGCCCCTCTTCTCACTGCTGCCCCAAGGCAAGTCCCTGGTTGGCCTTGTGGGAAATCCGGTCCTAAGGGACAGAGTAGGGATACAGATCAATGACAGGCTGTGGCTGTACGCTGGTAAATGCTGCTCTGAGGGTGTACTTTCGCACAGGTTCAGGATGTACACCCCTGGACACAGACAGTCTGCATGCATGGGGGTACATCCATACCTGCATGTAAGTATACACTTGGAGCAGCCTTTAGGCTGCCAATTACAATTTCAGCCCTAAAGGAGATTATTATCTCAAATCCTATAGAGATCCACTTGGTTATAGTATCTTCTGAATCCAATCAAATCCATATCTCAAGTCCTGATGAAGGAGGAGTGTTATTGACCCCCGAAACACATTTATGTTTCAATAGTGAACAGTTAAAGGCACTTTTGGACTCTTTCACTTGTTGGTTGTGCGTCCTTTATTTCTAAACCTTAGGTACCCATTAAGGGAAGCCTTTCTGCGTGGAATCTGCGTATTGAGCCCGTCTAATGTTTTTTTTTCTTCATTTGGCTGCATATACAAGTTTTTCAGTGCCGATTTGAGCTGAGCGACTTTGAGAGATATTGAGCTACATTGAGCAACAGTGTACATATTGTCGCGCTACGTAGCGCTACTTTTGGCATGGACTTCACAGCTGCTACATTGGGCTGTATCCAATCAAAAACGATCTTGATGTGACATAATTGCTCTTCCTGTTTCCTGCTTATGTTCCTGCTTATATTTCTGTGCAAAAGTGACACTTCTGTAGCGCAACAATGTCGTGCAATGCCGCACAAATTTGTGCAACATTGACCTACACCATTGAAATCTATTGGGGCCAAATTGCACGAAATCCGCCGAAAAATAGGTCATGTTCAAGCGACAAGCTTGAGCTACAAGCTACAGGCTACATTGAGCTGTGAGTTGTGAACAGCTCCATTGAAATGCATTGGACGAGCTACATTGAGCGACATTGAGCTGATCTTTGAGCTGAAATCGCTCAGTGTGAATGGGGTCTTAAATATATTGTTCCCCCGTGTTATTAGAATGCCAAATCGACTCCAAAAACAATTACGACCACGGAGTAGCTTTGCTCATGTTTTGATTGTTCCCTTCAATTATCATCATTAAACAAAAGTAGAAATCAATGGCTCGCACGCATCCTGGACTCGTTATGCATTTGTGTATCTTGTTTGAATGTAATTTCGGCCTGTGTTTTCTCTCCCGAGCTGGGGGGTGGACGGGGCTCTTGACAAAACATGTTTCTACTTTTGGCTGGCAGACGAATCTGAAATCCGCAGCTTACTGGGGCCAAACCCGGCATTGTCTGGATTAGTGTCCCAGAGAAATGCTCCATTATTAACAACCTCCTTTTTTCCTTATCATTATTCACGCGCTTGTCATTAGCTTTTACTAGTAATTAGAACCATGCATGCTCACGGCTGCCATGGTAACAGACTACAATACAGTTTGCCTCGCTAACAGAATGAGATTTGTCTAACAAGAGGGAAAAGCAACGGCACGCCGACACCAACGGCTAGAGTTAAGCTTATACTGTATGTAGTGGGCTTTCTATGGGCTCAGGCATCTTATCTTACATGTAGAGACTTAGCTGGTATCCTTTTGTACAACAGAGTGGTTGTTTATATAATTCCGGGAAGAACAGCCGGTTACTTATTTACATTGCATGTTGGGTCTAATCTATCGGCAGAGGAATTTCTCTAAAGCCTGCCATACACTTTTGGAACTTCAGTCAAGTCCTGCTGAATAGGCCGCAATTTGAGCACTGTGTGGCACCTTTGGGAACCCCCATCCTCAATTTGACAAAAGTCCATATTCAATTAACTTTTGTTGATGGAGCGGGTCTTAAAAATCTTGGATGAACAGGGACTGCAACCAATCAGCTGGCTAGGCCAAAATTTGAGCAGTGTGCGTGGCCCCCTTGGAAACCCCCATTCGAGAGTAGTCCATCTTTTAATCAACTTTTGTTGAAGGAGCTGCTTTGAAAAGTCTTGGCCAAAAAGTGACTGCAACCAATCAACAGGCTAGGTCCAAATTCGAGCAGTGTGTGGCCCCCTTGCAAAAGTCTGGGAAATCTGGGAGGGTTGCATCTAGGACCTCGCCGAGCATTCAGAAGAGGGCAGGAGTTCACATCTGACCAGACCTGCCCCACATCTCTCTCCCTGCCATACTGTCTTAGCCACACTGTGGGGAAGGTTAAAAGATGATGTGAAGGGGTGCTCCTGATGCAAAGGGGGCTTCTGATATGACAGGAGGGCTCCTGATGTGAAGGGGGGGACTCTGATAGGAAAGGGGTCTTCTGATATATAAGCCACGACTCTGATATTAAGTCTCTGATTGCTTGTTTTTGTGTGGGGTCCCCCCTTAAAATCCATACCAGACCCCTATCAAGGATAAGAATTTGTTATAGATTTTGAGGGAAACCATACTTTAGGCTCAATTCACAAAGCTTTAACACAAGGATAAGGATCTTTATTTTAACCATGTGACTGCAATTTTCAAATCTCATTGGACTTCACAGTAAACAACTATCACTTTTTTAGGAAATAAGTATCCTTATCTTGGTATGTTTGCTTCATGAATTGAGCCTTTTGTTTTTTTACATTTACCTTTATTTTTTTAAAATTTAAGACTGCAGTGTCTCGAGATTTTGCATACTTTTAAAGGGTGCCGCAACTAAAGAAAAGGTAGAAAAACCCTGTCTTAGAAATCCTTTGGGCCGGGATAAGCACTGAAAAATGTTGAGTTTGCCGAAGCTCACAAAGTACATAAGTAAAAATGGGAAGGGTAAGAGTCCTATAATATATGCACTTTCCTGCCAGAAGAAAAGACAAACAATGCATAGCAAATCATTGCAAACAGTAATATTCCAACGACATAACCACAAATGTCCTACATTTTATGTGTTTCATTTTTACAGAAGAGAGAAATTATGGTTATCAGCCATGTAATTGCAGGCAACCTTTTCAGAGACTATCATTTAATGAAATTACTGACAAATATTCAGAGTTTCCACACAATTACCCCGTATCTTGTGTTTTTCTACTTCTACTTCGTGACTTGTAAAACTTTTACCATATTTTATTGGTTGAACTCCATGGACTTGTGTCTTTTTTCAACCTTACAAACTATACTATGTAACTAACTATGCAACTAATGTATATATGGGGTAAAATATTTTACTTTACATAGAACAGTATTAGGAGTCAGAGAGGCGGCAACTGACCCTATGAAGAAATAAAAAGACAAAGTGGAAAGCCTAAAAGAAGAACTCCAGGCAAAAGTGTTCTTAAGGGTTAAAGGAGAACTATGAGGCGAGTAATTTTCACTCAACCTCATAGTTCGAGCTGACATGTGACAATGAAACTGTTACACGTCGGCTCAATATATCGGGAAGTGAGCGAACACAAACCGTCGCTGGCTCACTTCTCGATCATGTCCCTGCAGAGAGCTGTGACTGTCACTCACGGCTCCCTGCAGGGATTCTGCCCCTCCCCTGTCCGATTATCCAGCGCTGACTGGCGGAACGGACGGGGGAGTGGGCGGGCACAGCTGGCTCTGCCTATAGCTGTCACTCACACAGCTCCCGGCTGGGGTGGTCTCAGTATACCGCAAGCTGTAGCTCTCGATATACTGAGCTTTGGGTCACAGGAGGACGCTAGATCATGCCCTCCTGTGACCCTTAGGAGAACTATGGGGAAACACTTACCCCATAGTTCTCCTTTAAGTGCTTGTTTTTGTCTAGGTGCTAAAAATAAAAGTTATACTAACGCAAACAGCCGAACCAGGGCCGTCTTTAATATTGATTGGATCCTGGACAAATATTTTCTTGGGGCCCTCCCGCCCCCCACCTACCACACACTGCCCCCACCTACCACGCCCCCTCCCCGCCATGCAATTTTGCTCTCCAGAGCAGAGCAGGAGAGGATGTCAGAGGGAGACCTGATCCCGTGTAAGACGTCACGCTATGCGCCATACGGCAGAGGCAGAGCAACACAATGTGATGCCGATCGCATAGTAAAAAGAACGGTGTCGCCTGTGTATCTTTTGCAGGCTCAAGGTGAAGCTGCTTTCAGACCTACAACAATAACTGGGTCTGGAGCTTGCCCCACGTTAATGACAGCCATGTGGTGAGCTGGCTGCCTGCTTCTCTGGTCACTGAAGCCTGTATCCTCCTAAACTGCAGCATTGGAATGTTCCTCGGTGTCCTCAGGTCTATACACTGTGTATAGAACATGATAATTTATGGTACAGGAGGAGGAGGAGGAGGTTGCTGGATGGGGCGGCAAGCTCCTGGGGGGGGGGGGGGGGGGAGGGAGAGGCTCCAGGGACCGGTCTAAGGCTGGCTATACACTGCTCCAATTTTACTAAAGCATTTTCGTACGAAAGATCTTTCTTTTGATTTTCTGTTAGTTGATGATGATCGGTTTTGACCTTAGTGACGAAAAAAAAGGAGCAAGATGGAAAGTTTTTCTCGATTAAACAGTGGAGGTGGTTTTCCTTTGGGAAACTCCATTCATTCTGAAATCGAACATTAGAATCAAATGACCAACATTCAGCAGGTGCCTGATGGCATTATTGGGTGGTAAAGAAAGATCTTTCCTATGAAAGTTTAATTGTAAATCTACTAGTGTATGTGTAGCATAAGAGCACGCCGCCTCCGAGGATCGGGTGAGAATAATATTTTTTTTAACAACTGGACGTACTAAAACTTTTAATAAAAAGAATTTATAAAAAAAATTTTTTTTAAACTAGACAAAAATAATTACTTAACCCTTGCAGAGCGGATGTAGCCCCACTGCAAGGGTTAAGAAAAATTCTGCCTGGAGTTCTGCATTAAAGTGACACTGATCACAAGTTAAAAAAAAAATATATACAGTATATATCCAATATCTTTATTGGTTGCTATCTGGGTCACTTCTATGGTCAGTGTCAGACAACACATCCCTATTTGTATAATTAAACCCTCAGGGTTTTTTTCATGTATCTACTACTAGCGAGAGGTAGATATATGCAAAAACAAAACAAAAAAGTTACCAAAAAGGTTAAAACTTACCCGTGTCTCCGCCGCACGCTCCCGTCCAAAGCTCTGAAGATTCTCCGATGGCCGTAAAGGATCATGGGGCGGGTGCTCGCGCAGTAGAGATCTTCGACCGGGAGAAGAGGAGAGACACAGGGCAAGTCAATGCAGGCAGCCCGGAATCGTGCACCCGCACATACTCTGTGGGACACTGAAGACGCAGCAGTCAGCGCTGGATTACAGAGCGGCACCAGCTCTGGAGGGACTCCTGAAAACTACTGGAAAGAAGAAGATGATTGGATCACTTAAAAGAGAACTATGGGGTAAACTTTTTATCCCATAGTTCTCTTTAGGGTCACGGGAGGAAATATAGCTCGCTATATACTGAGAGCACTGCTGCTGGGATGGATCCCGACAATACTGTCGAGATCCATCCAGCTGGCTGATTGACAGCGGGCTCTGCCTATCTAGAGGCAGAGCCCGCTGTGCCCACTCCCTCACTCTCAGCACTAGAGAATCGGACAAGGGTGGGGGGAATCCCTGCGGAAAGCTGTGACTGACAACGCTCTCTGTAGGGAGATGATCAGAAAGTGAGGGAGCGACGCTCACTTCCCGATCAATAGAGCCGACGAGTGACAGCTTCATTGTTTGGATTTTAGACTTTAATGTCACTTTAATACTCAGAAAATCAACATGTGAATGTTTTTGGCACGTTTAAAGACTTGTCATGGGTATAGTACTGTATACTGGATTGACACTTAAGTTAATAGACATTGAATCTAACAATCCAGTTTACTGACACCTTGGAATGGGTTTTAAGATGCGCCCCACTAAACACAATCTACAGCTAAACTCTTGGCATCTTGAATTCTATTGTAACTGCCACATTTTGCAAAGCGCTTTGTAAACTGTTGGCACTTGATAAAGTCTGTATAATAATAACGTTTACTACAATGTAATTTCAGAAAAACATCATCCCAATAAACTCTTATTGCTTATGGGATCTGCATGCCTAATTCCCTTTAACATTCATACACATTAAATAATATCAGAACATTAGGAACTGTGTGTGACCTTCACCCCTTTGGTCAGGAGCTCTGTCACATCCTTCCCTGCCTCTTGTGCCTTTCTATTGATCAGTGAGGCTTGTTATTCTAGTGATGGACAAAATGTAGACACAGGAAGTAGAGGGAACGGGCAGACCCATCGTTCAACGGAGCTGAGCACGATTTTGGGGTTTTGGGACTTCTTGCGTGTTCCTACAGCTAAAACAACGCAACAGATTCACTTTTTGAGTAAAAATGCTCACAACTGGGATATTTGCTAAGAAACTTCAAGATTTGGGCGGGGGATACGTTCCTCAACGCACATTGTGGGCATAGTTGTCTCACAGTTTCAGAAAATAGATGTTTCCTCTTTGACTGTCCCTTACTCCACCCAGTAACCGGTGTCCTTTTGCGTTTCCTCCAACCACAATACAGGACCTCTTACTTACTGAAGATACTTACTGAAGGAGCCGGGCCAAAATGGTGTTACAACCATTACATACAGTTAACAACTTCTAATATGTCTCAACATCATCAGTAGAGATACAGTCTCCTCAATGTCACAATATTCTAAGCCAGGTTAAGACCAGGGAAAAAATGTAAGATTCTGTGGAAAAGGTTTGTTCCTTGGAGATGGGTGTACATTTAGGAGCCAAAGGTCAATGCCTACAGGCCCCAATGGAAAATCGGGCCTACTTCTGACTGCTGGCTGTGCAACTTTATACTAATTCCAATTTCTGTGCATTAAAGTACAGAGTAACAATGGGCCTTTTGCTGTACTAAAGCTGAACTCCAGGCAAACAGCTAAATACAATTGTAGAATACATACAGTATATGACTGCTGCTTGGTCTGTCCTTTATTTCTATCCATTTAGTCCTAAGATTTACACAGCCCAGCCAGACTTTACAGCCATCCTGGTGACCTGGCTTTTTCTTGCTATAGTTAAACAATACATCCGGGTCTCCTCCCTGCCCCCAGCCCGGGATTAGGAATGAGATTCGGGTTCAGCTGACACTGTACGTGGCTGTTCACATCTGATTGCTTAAGGAGTGATTACATGCGGCCGGGGACAGATGAGCGGCACTTTACTGAGAGCTGTTTGCACCTGGGGCAGCTCCTGTGTCCCTAACAGCTGGTCTTCACCCCATGTGTGAATGCATGCGGGCAGCTGTGGAGACTGTCATTGATCTGTACAGGCTGAGTAACCAGAGCTAATCGAAAATGCCTGGCTGTATCTCCTGCAAAAATACATTGATCTGGGCGGTGTATAAAAAGTTATAGATTCATTTATAGCCCATGCATATTGAGGATTCCAAAGGTACTCATTCATCAGAGCCGAAAAAGTGCTTTGTGAAAGGGAGACCAGATGATGGACTTAATCAATATTGGAAAATCTCGGTGAAGCGTTCTTACTGACGAAAAACAAGTGTTAAAGGATTTGCTGCAGATGTGGATTTAGGCAGCCTGGCTGTCACATTGATTCGTCAACTTCTGTACTTCCGCAGTCACTCACACAGATTTTGTATCACTCACTGGGTTCAAGAACACTGGATATCGGATCAATGAGAAATACTTTTATTAAAAGAAAAAATGTATACAAACCCCGGGCTGTTTGGTCATGTTGTCCTCATCGACCGACTGAAGAAACCTTGACTCTGTAAAGAGATAAACATCAAAATATTTTTTGCACTTTATTTATTCATTTTAAGCAAAGCTGAGATACGACTGAACATCCGCCACAGGAAAGACAATGAAAAGTTACTGGTTATACACTCCTATTTCTATATATTTCCGGTATGAAAAGATACGTCTTGTGTTGTGGTGGAGCACAGGGCAGTATCTGCAGTCCCCTAAATGACCAAATGAAAGGTTGTGCTGTATTCAACCTTGAAGACAAGATGGGGTTGTATTGTATGGTGTCACCAATGAATACTAGAGCCTTGTACACAAGGGTCACAGCACCACATCATGTGCAAAATGGCAGATCCCTTGACCTGTCAGGGGAGGGAGCCTTGACTGCTGGAATCATTTAGTAAGGACGTGGTCAGTAAAATGGACCACTACTGTATAAGTGCGTTATCAATGATTAATTGGGGGATAGGTTACAAAGGCGGAGACAAGCAAAGTGTTAAAAGTGTGAGGAAGTGGGCTTGCTGGCCTTTTGGGAATCGACCAGCAAGCCAAACATCCCCTCCCACCCTACCCTACTTTTTCTTTTCTAACTTGTTACAGCTGTGTTGGCATGTTTTTGACCTTGCCAGCTTATCCAATTACCACTAGTGATGGGCTTCGCAGCTCCACGTGCCGAGCCCGCCAGGAAGTTGACAGCGCGCAGCACCAATCACAGGTACTGAGACATGTTCCCGGTCCGCAGCTGCAGAGATCGGGAAACGTCTCAGTGCCTGTGATTGGCGCTGCGTGCTGTCAGCTTCCTGGAGGGCTCGGCACGTGGAGCTGCGAACACGCCGGAGCCCATCACTAATTACCACGTTAACTTTGCTGAAATTCTTTGATGGTTGGACATCCGTCTAGAACCGATGGTGAAGACAGATTTTCTGCATTGTGTTATAAAGACATGATATTTGTGTGCTCACGGTTTATCCGTGACTGGCACGGGTTAATGTAAACAGAAAAGAGTTATGTTTAATATGATGATGAACGTCAAAGCTGTGGCCTTGCCCTTCCGATAAAGTTAATTTGTCTAGTATATATTGGTGGTGGGTGGGGAAGGGTAACAACATAAAACAAGTGTTTAACTATGATTCTCAGCAGTCAAGAAAATTCTGCATTCTATGGCACAGCACAGTCAATCAGCTATTCCATCCCGATACCCAGGCTGCGTTTATTACACACACCCTAAAATATGTGGATTGACAGCCAGAAATACCCACTCACGGGCTGACCAAATGTACTGTCCACCATGGCTGAGACACAGGAAGGAGGATCTTTTTATGCTTATTACATGGCGCAGTAGGAGATGGGGTGTAAAATGCCCTTCCTCTGTGGAAGCCAATGGCCCATACATTGTTTTATATAAGAAAGGTTTGCTTTCAGCATAAATTCTAAATTAAAACATGCTTACTTGTCTTCTAGAAAAAAGTGATATATTATTAGTTTTACCCTTCAAATACTGAGTCTATGACAGCTGTTAGGAAAGAATTCTGAAAAAAAAGGGAATCCTTTCTCATAATCCATAACTATGCTAAATATACCATGTCTACCACTACATACAATACATTGCTTTTTTGACACGACAGAAGAGTTTGCTACACTACTTGTTATACTAACAACTACCTAATCACTTGCCCCCTGGACCCCATTCCCTTGCACCTTTTCCAGTCACCCTCTTGCTCTATTCTACTCTCTCTTAACTCAACTAAAAACTGAACAGTTACTTTTCCCATCAACTCCTTCCCAGACGGTTATTACCTTGTATATTACTTGTCCTTCCTTTTAGAAGGTTCTCGTGACCAGGGCACCCTTATAATCCCTTTTTTTTTTATTGTATTGTAACTGTACTGTTTACCTTCATTTTGTAAAGCACTGCACCAACTGTTGGTGCTATATACAGTAAGTCCTGTATTATACTACTACTACTACTACTACTACTACTACTACTACTACTACTACTAATAATAATAATAATAAAGTTTACAGTAAAGTAATAAATACAGTGTGATCAGAGGGCATCCTGTATTATACTCAGCATAGTTTACAGTGGCTGATGCACAGAAAGTTGGGTCTTTTTCTGTTTATGCAGTACTGGTGCAGTGGGAGGATGTCAATTGCTCCTCCCCTGCAGAAACCAGTGGCTCATATATTTGTTATTTTTAAGAAGAACTCCAGTTTTTCTTTGTTTTTTTTAAAAAGCTAATCATTGTAGTGGGGCTACCCCTGCACTTAACTGCTCATTTTTCTCTAAGGTCCGGAATACAGAAGATATGGTCATCTGATCCTCATTCTTGCTTCAGTCAGCACTCACCTCTCCCCCCTCCACTTTGGCTGTGATATGTCCCTTGGTGTCCTTATGCCTAATGCAGGCGAATGGACTGCATTAGATGTGATGACATCACTGGGGCTTAGACCACCAGAGCCCGGGGAAGAAAACACTGCGTGGTCAAGTCTAGCAGCCGTGGGGACCAAGGCTCAGGTAAGTATCTTTTTGTTATTTGAGACCCTAGACCAAAATGAGCAGTTAACCCTTTTGGTTCAGGGGTAACCTGTCGGGATATACGGCTGGGTCGTAGGTGGAACCCATTGGCAGGGACGGGGCAGGGTCCGAAGTCGAAGTACCAGAGGGAAGTCCAAAAAGAGTAGTCGAGTCCAGGTCGGGGCAGGCAGCGAGGTTCAAGAGCGAGAGGACAGGTGGAATGGTCGGCAAAACGGGAGGTCAGGCAAGTCTCAGAAAACAGATTCACACACGGGAGCTGGGTGATCACCATGAGGTAGAATAACTCAGCAATGAGTCAAGGCTCTGACCGGCTTTACTTACACAGGGAACGCCAAGGACCACCCCCTGGCTGCCGGGGCAACCAGGAAGCTTCCTCAGTCAGGAGCCAATCGCAGGGCTGATGGGGCAAGTGGTGAGTGCTAGGGACCTCCCCCAGCCTGACTAGCACCTGAAAGTGCTAAGTGGCGCAGGCGCACTACGCCCTGTGTACCGCGCATGCGCACTGGCAATCACGGTGCCCAGTGTCCTGCCAGGAGGAGGTGAGCCCCGTGCCCTGTGCCCACGCTGGCGAGCCTGGTGAGGAGCGGTACCTCTGGTTCCCTGACATAACCCCACTTCAAGGGTCAACTTTTTAGCTTCTTGGAGCTCTTCTTTAATGTGATAAATGTCTGTTTTGAATAAAAAATGCTAATTAGTTCTGTAGAAAAAAAAGGAATTTTAATAAGTTTGCCTTTGGAAATGCCAAGTCAATGACAGCTGTTAGGAAAGAATCCTACAGAGACAAAAATATTTTTATTTCCCGCAGCCATAATTGTGTTAAATATAATTTAAAGTGGTTTTTTTGCGTGCGCCTGTGAGAAATAATAAGCATGGTGTGATCACAGGACAACCTGCATAATACTCAGCGCCGATCTGGTGTGAAAAATTCATAAGTTTGTCATGTGTTAATCTGCTGATACCTAGTAATTCTTTCCTGTCCTCGCATAGCTTGTGTTTGCGTTGTGGATTGTTGTGTTGTTGTGTTAGTCGCACCATTTCCTATTTAGAGTGTTAAATGTATTTTATTACAGTTTGCTGATCTGCTGCACATATATTCCACACCATGGATTGTATATATCAGGTGGGCAGCAATAATACTTATTACGGATGCACCGATACCGGTTTTTCATTATCAATTGCGATTTCGATATTTTTTTTTTGCGGTACTCGCTGATACCGAATACCGATACCGGAAGTCCCATTAAGGAAGCCAGGCCACTTGTAATGACTCGCCGCCCGGCTTCCTGATTAGCCGGGAAGCCAGCTCCATGCTCCCTCGTCACCAGGTGATGAGGAAGCATGAAGCCAGCTTTCCCGCCAATCAGGAAGCCAGGGGCGGGTAATAACTCATCGCCTGGCTTCCTGATTGGCCAGCTTCCTGACCCATCAGGGAACGGGGCTGCGAGTCATTACACGCCGACTGGCTTCCTGATTGGCAGGGAAGTCGGCTCCATGCTCCCTCATCACCAGGTGACAAGAAAGCATGGAGTTAGCTTCCCGACCAATCAGGAAGCTGGGCGGCGAGTCATTATACGCCAACCAGCTTCCTAATTGGCCAGGAAGTCGGCTCCATGCTCCCTCGTCATCAGGTGACAAGAAAGCATGGAGTCAGACCAATCAGGAAGCCGGGCAGCGTGTAACGACTCACCACCCGGCTTCCTGATACTGGGAGTTCTGTTATCGGGATAAGCATCGGAAGCATTTGGCTGAGTACAAGTAGTCACCCAAACACTTTGTATCGGCACCAATACCGATACTAGTATCGGTATCAGTGCATCCCTACTATTTATAAAGTTTATTGATTCATTTTGAGTTTTATGTAGATTTAAACCCATTCAATAAAATCTCATATGAACTTTAGCACATTAATGTATTAATAGTCATTTTCAGCATTTTTAAATCTGCATCCGTCCGTCCGTTTTTCTACTACGGGCGGACGGCAACTGGTTAAAGTAATTCAGCTGATCCTGCTATAAAGGATTTTTCACTCACCTCATAGTTCCAGCCAACCTGTGACAATGAGACTGTCACAGGTCGGCTCAGTAGATCGGGAAGTGAGCGAACACATACCGGCGTTCGCTCACCTCTCGATCCTGTCACGGCTCTCTGCTGTGACAGGGGAGGGGCTGGATTCCCCCCTCCCTGCTCCGATCCTCCAGCGCTGACTGGCGGAATGGACGGGGGAGGGGGCAGGTACAGCTGGCTCTCACTCACACAGCTGGGCGGATCCAGTCGTAATTGTCGGGATCCGCTTCAGCTGTCTCAGTATACCACGAGCTGTAGCTTGCGATATACTTCGCTTAGGGTGATGGGAGGACGCCAGTTTGTGTCCTCCCGTTACCCTAAGGAGAACTATGGGGAAAAGCTGTAAGCCCATAGTTCTCCCTTAAGGTACCTGAATGCATTAAGTATTAACTTCTGAGTTTAGTGTTACTTTAAAATGAGGAGACACGATGTGCACATTTGCGGTACCTGCATACGTTATTTCCAAATGATCTGTACCCACCATCATAAGGCTAATTTGCAAAAAGTATACCATAACATCTAATTAAAACACAGCATTGCAAATGCCATGGAAATGTTGCACAACCCATGTCAGAAGCAAGCAATAAATGTGTATGTACGCTGACCCTAATGCATGATCAAATGAAACTGGTGGGCGGCTCAAGGTAATGGTATTCCACCGCTGTCTTCACTGTTCCTCCAGTGCGTATAAGAGAAGAATCCAGCTTTGTCCCATGTTATGCCAATATAGAACCAACCAAGGAAAAATTCTCATCCTGCCTCCTGGCAGCATTTCCACGGACTGTTCTTCTAACCTTACATCCTATTTGAAGAATGATAAAATGTAACACATATAGGCATCTTTACCTCCAAAGTCTGCAACCACAGCATGTCCATCTTCATACAGCAAGATGTTGTGGCTGAAAGAAGAAAATAGGTTACACTTGTTGCTCCTTAAAAGGATTGAAAAGCATGAATACACTGCAAATTCTGGCTGTCGGTATGTTAAAAGATTGAATTCCATTTGCAAATGATAATGTAAAAGTTGCCATCCATCTCCTCAGGTCACATCACACCACACTGGAAGCTCTTAAATGAGGAAAATCCACCAATAACAAAGACAGCACAGGAAACTCCTTAAAGAGGAACTGAACTCTGGAAGCTGCGCCCAAATAAAGGGCAGGCAAAGGGAAACTGACTAGTCACCAGTATAGTCTATGGACTCCCTGCAAATGATCTTTTCCCTATTACTGACTTGCCATGCCTTGTTCGGCTCTGTGTCTCTGTGTGGAGGTGGACATCTTGGTAGAGGCAGGGCTTTTCTTCCTCATGTCAGAGCCTCCAGCAAGGAAAACAGTGAGCAGCACAGTAATGATATCACCAAATCTCACTTCCAAACCCCTGAGACTAGCAGTGCCTTAGATCTCAAACTGCACATATACAGCTATGAGGCTGTTGGCAAAGTAGAGCTTAGGCACAGTTACATACCAGCAGTGGCGTAACAACCTAAAAAAAATGTCTGCCCCGTGCGCCCAGAACTCTGGTTACGCCACTGCATACCAGGAAGCATAATGCTACCAGAAATACAAAAGGTACATTTTTTCATGGTACCATAATGCACAATTAACATTTTACAATGTTTCCTATAACATAGAAAATCTTAATTTCTTTAGTTCAGTTTCTCTTTAAAGTAAATATAAACTCGAGCTCTAAAATATCATATATGCTAAACGTGCTCAGGAAATGTCAAAGTAATGCTCAATATTTTTTAATCTGCAGCTTTCATTAAAACGATACATAATGATTCTGCCATGAAGGTTCGTGATAAGGCACTTCCTGTTATAGGGTGTTTCCTGTCTCCCAGCTGGCTCCTATGTTGTCACTATGCCACATGCTCTATCTATTGATATCACAAGTAGCCATCTGAATACACATTACACAGGCACTGTTTGCTGTGGTCACCATCAGATCACTTGTCCTAAAAAACTAAATGCAGCCATCACTAGAGTGTGTAGACCTGCAGCAGCTGCAAAGAGGCTGATGGAGATCAGTAGTACTGAGATGCAACATAGGATGAAAACATTAACTGTATTTTATTTTATATATTTTTTAAATTGTGACTATTATGACTGTGTTTGCCAAACAGCAGGCTGGCATACTAAATGTCATCCAGTTAGAATTAACATGTACTTTAAGGGAGATTATTGACAACCCCTTAAAGATCCCCTTACACATACATTGTACAGCACAGCAGCATGATTGGTTCATTACATATATACACTGTTCTTGTTTAGTGACTGTACCCTATTGTTTCTTTCATCTCATAAAAAAACCCACACACGAAGCCTAGGATGGAGACCTTGAATGAACATTGTTGTGTTACGGAACAAATCTTACAGCTCAGTTGCAATACACATGAGATAACAAACACTTTCCCGTAGGGTAAAGGGTACTGGCTTCACTGCATACAGACATCCACTGGAGTGCTCCTACAACAATGAATGAGTAACGTGACCACAAAACTAAAGTACAGCAAGTATCACATGAAAGGAAAACAAAATCACATACACTACACACTGTATCGGGGAAAGCAATGGGGTGCCATTCAATATACTGTGCGCTGTGGTAACCCATAATAAATGTGAATCTGGCCTTAAAGCATTGATAGGCATCAGGAGCATTACAGCTTTTGTGCAACTACAAGCCCCATGAGGCGTTGCAAGACTCTGAAAGCCATGGGCATGCCATGCAGACGCAGAGGCATGATGAGATTCTAGCACAGCTGGAGTGCCAAGGTTGCCTATCCATGAACTGTGGACTCCTGACCCTTGATCTATATGAGCTTGTTGGACATCTCATTGCCAAACCATGAGCATTTATATGAAGCTGCAACCCCCCTTTTGAAGTTATAACAGCCTCCACATTTCTGGGAAGGCTTTCCAAAAGATACTGCAGTGTGTGGAAATTTGAGCCCATTCAGCCAAAAGAGCATTTGTGAGTTAAGGTCCTGATGTTGGATGATAAGACCTGGCTTGCAGTTGGCATGCCAATTCATCCCAAAGGCACAGCTCCACAGTGTCCTTCATTTGGAGGGACTGTACCTTCTTTGTAACCAAAAATTCTGTCTGTCTTTTCTCCTCATTTGTCCCTCTTTTTGGACAGGGTTAGGGTTGAGGTCAGGACACCATGTAGGCCACATGAGTTCCTTCACACCAAACTCATCAAACCATGTGTTATGGAGCTGGCTTTCTGCACAGGGGCACCGTTATGGTGGAACCAAACTGCCACAAAGGTTGAAAGGGCACAATTGCCTGAAAAATGTCTTTGTATGATGTAGCATTATCCATACCCTTCAATGGAGTCATGTGAACCAGTGGCAGAACTGTCTCCATAGTGACCCAGGCGGCCGCTATGGGGCACAGGGGGGACCGGCCAGGATGAGGAACAAAGGTGCCCTCTGATGCCGCATGGGCCGCCTGGGTCGCTATGGCATCGCAGGCTGCTGGCGGTCACTGGCGGCTGTGAAGAGGAACGCGCCGCTGTTCAAATCACTGACAACCTGTCAGTGATCTGTGCAGCGGCACATTCCTCCTCACATCCGCTGCTGAGTCAGTGACAGCCAGCAGCTGCAGAGGAGGAGGCCGGCGTCGGCTGCGGAGGAGGAGGTGGGGCCTGGCAGAGGAGGAGGCGGTGCACGACATCAGTGGAGGAGGAGGAGGTGGGGCCCAGCGGGGGAGGAAGCTGATAGCGGATAGGGGCTGACAGGTAAGAGGTGTGCAGTTGTGTGGCCAGCCCACCTGAGACCCTGCAGAGCCCACCATAGACGTTCTATGGTGGGCTCTGCGGGGTCACTCTCAGGTGGGCTGTTTGGGATCTCAGGTGGGCTCTGCAAGGGGCGTAACTATAAATCCCAGGGCCCCACACAACATTTTGCTATGGTGCCCTGTGATTTCTAACTCAATAATTTCCAGGGGTGTCCACACTCTTGTGACAACAGAGTGTAAATGTCCTTCCGGTAAACTGCTATAACTGAAGATGAGTGGTTACAGAACACACATGATGGTTTCCCTTTAACCCTAAAAATGGAAACCATAAACAACTTACCAAAACCTAATTACTTAGGACAGCAAATTCTTTTAATCTCTAAAACTGCAAATTCATGAATTACAAATACGGAGCAGTATGCAAACAAAACCCACTTGTCCCAAGGCTGCATTCTATATTTTAATGTCTCCTCTCCCTAACAGCAATGCACAGACGAATGGAGAGAAAGTACTTATTTGCAATTGTCTTCAGCCATCGGGAAATGTATATTGCGGGGAGGGTGGTGGGGGGTAAAAATATCTGAATAGAAGGGGTGTATAATCTGAATTTTTACATGGCCAAAAAAACCTCTTCATTTAAGCACTACTGTCTTATCTGAGATCTGATTATGCAAATGTCTTTCAAATCAATGTGTGCGAGAGTATTTTCAGTGCTGTGATATGTAAAATGATTCATTTTATTACAAGCCTTTGAAGTCATGGTAACAGAAATCTTAATAAACGGCGTTGAGTTCATCAAAATAAACCACATTGCAGCTCAGTGAGTTTAAAGCTGAACTCCTGGAAACCGGCTAAAACACATAGGTGAAATACATATATGGTAGCTGTTTAACCTGACAGAGGACTTCTGTCCATGCAGTCCTGAAATTTACACAACTCTACTGCAAAGCACAGCCCTGTCTGGCAGGAAGGAACCATAGTTTTGTCTGGTACAGTTATGTAAAGCTGGGCATACCCTATGCAAATTCATCAGGAATCGTCCGAAATTTGCACACTGGGTGCCCCTGCTGGCACCCTTCCACCCAGCATCCCTTGATCAGAAGATTGAAGGAAAATGTTCAGCCAATCAGCTGCAAGCACTGTGCAGGCATTCTGACGGGCTGGCGGCCACTGTCAGAATACAATGGAAACATCAGGGGCTCCTAAGCGTTGATAGAGAAATCTGTTATAGCCCGTAGACTGAACGCAAAACATATAACAGTGTATAGCTAGTTTAACTCTTACAGGTTGTGTTTCTCCCCCAGCCTGTGATTGGCCATGAAAATGAGAAGAAGCAGACTAATAAAGTAATCCCTCCATCACTCTTCTCTCTCTTCCTATCAGCATGCTCCTTGGTTCACTGTGCTGCTTCTTCTGCTTCCGTTTGAGCTCTGCTGTACAGAGGTTTACAAGAGGCTGATACCAGGTCGATATCAGGAACTTACACTGCTTGCATGCAGAAAAAAAATATAACTTAGGGGTTCATTTATGAAAGTTCTTATACTCATCAGATCCAACTAGGGGTGCAAGTGCAATGCCAATGACTTCTTAATCAGTTTTTCATTACATCTAGGAATAGGGCATTAGGAATACAGCTAATATCACTATAGCTAGAAGGACACACGCTTGCTGGCTACCTGCCATATGTATTAATGAATACAAAGCTGCATTCATTTTAATTATTCTTTTAAAGTATATTCAAGTATTCCTTCGACAGGTAAAACAGGCAGAAGGAACATCAAACTTAAATATATGGCTGTTCCTAATAATGTGGTTGTTGCTTTACTATAAATAGGACTATCAGTTTTGCATGTAATTATCCTTGTGATGCACCTAAGTAACAGCTTGATACATTTTCTATCTGTTGGCCTATCTTTAAAGCGGACCTTTACACTCAAAAATCAAATTCACCTAATGCATCCCTCTATGTATGATGATTAATAAAAACATAGACATGTCAGGTGATTGTGAAATACTTACACTTGCAGAGCATTCACTTCCTGCTTTGAAAGGGCAAAATGACTTCAGTTTGCCAAAGCAATGCACACTGGGATTGCCTTGTCATCAGCAGAGCATTGGTGAGAGATCTCATCTGTAACCTCAGGAGATCTCAGGGA